TCTTGAAATAATAGTGATTAATTATCGTTATTTCTAATATATTGACCGTAATCATCCCCGTGAGAAATAAATCTATTATACTATTTTTTTTTTTAATTTTATTTGTTACAACATAGCAAGTATATCATTACTTTAGAGATGTAATGTACAAAACAATTCTATAAATCTTCAACTGTAGAAACATTGCTTCTTAAAACATTGTGTACTTCTACCGTTTTGCTTCGGTTAACGATACAGGGGCCTACTGTGGTATATACTGTGGCATACCGTAGATCACTGTAGGAAGCAGTAGCCATACTGGGGCCTACCGTAGGCGTACTGGGGCCTACTGTAGGTAACTGTGGCATGCTGGGGATACATACAGTGGCATACTGAGAATTACTGTATATGCAGAGGAGACATACCGTACCATACTGTAGATATACCGTAGATAATTGTGGAAATGCTGTAGGTTACAGAGAAAGACAGGGGATTTTCATACGGACAGGGGTTTTGAAAGCCAGTAGTGATTTCTTGCTTTAAATCAAAACCATGATACTCATCATACGGAGGGCATTCGTGCTCATCGTCCTGATTTTGTAAATACTGACACCAAGCCTCATATAAACTTTTGGTTCTTGTCTCCAAATTTGATAAATGTCCCTTATGCAGCGCCAAACAGCGGAGAATTCCTAAATGGTCTTCATATCTTTTGCCGTTACTGTTGTTGACAAGCGCACGAAGATTTTTGTTTTGCGTTAAGAATTCAGGCGCATAGACCCTACAAGGTAATACGTGTAGTCGATTAGTGATACAGAATTTTTAACCCTCCAAAATATTATATAAAAAAAATAAAATGATAAGAAATAAGAAAGCACTGGTTAATATAACATGAAAAATAAATGTATAGAAATACAGTCATACCTTTCCTCGTCCATGGCTTGATTTAACCTCGATGATTTTTTTTTTACCGTGTTTGGTTTAATCGGGTTAAATTATTGGTTGACTGTAGGGGCTTGTCCCTCGTTTTGTACAATATACTCTTATATCAATGAAAAGCGTTGTTAAGTAGAAATAGGTTCTAATTACGAGACACCTTTAATGACCAAGTATTCAACTAATAATGGAGTCCATTTAATTTGCTTGCAAAAATTAAGATTATGTTCTAATCCCGCTCGACAATTTAAATCTCCGGTTCGGACAGGATCTTTAGAGTTTGGATCATTTTCAGGGTCTCGTCCCCCGTCTGTCAATTTAAATCACCTGTTCGGACAGGATCTTTAAAGTTTGGATCATTTTAGGATCTCAGGATCAGTCAGGATCCGCTCGAAATGCTACCCCTTATACTACTCCCGTGTTCGTACTGGTTATCTTGCATTACCTTTGTTTACATTTTATTGCAGTAACGTGTATTTGTGTTTGTATACTGCACTGACCTGTGCAACTGTTGTAAGTTTCTTTAGTATCTTACTCTCCTGCATAAGAAGAAGTACACAGTTATATTTTGTCGCTACCGAGCGCAGTATAGCATTCGTCCGTCTACACCGGTGACGATTGATTACACTGAAAAGTGACTAAGTGAGAGATTTTATATAGGGACCCTCAGATAAAGCGAGAGACCAATCGGAATATGGCGATATGATATGGAGATTGCTGGAAGACTTGATCTCCAAGAACTAAATAGATATTGTCAATCAGAAAGCTGAAGCATCTTTTTTTATATCAACTTCGGAGTACTGGTGTGTTCAGTGAGAATGTTTTCTTTAACAAAATAATTTTCCAAATGACCTAGGAATATGACTTCCATTTTTATTGAAAAAGCAGCTATGATGTCAAAAGTCTGAACTTTAAATTATCATGGTTGTATAAAGTGTTGAAAAGTCGTAAGTTTTGATGTGTTTTTTTTTTTAAGTTTTTTATTTAGGAATTCATATCTGATTTACACCACTTCTCGAATATATTGTAGTACAGTACTCATTAAGTTTCTCCTTTACTGCTGTTAATATTTTAGTGAGGAGTAAGAAAGAGGCTTGGTAGAACATTTACTGGGATCCGTTAAGTACTTTTGTTTGTAAGGATTTCAGTGTACTTTAGAAATCCAGTGTGGGTATGGTTAGTCAAATTCATTTTGATTGTTGGGAATATTAAAGTATATTTAAATGGACTCTGATTTTGAAAAAAAAAAATCCTCCTTGGAAAGGGAACTATGAGTATACTTTTTATTACCACATAATTAAATCCAAGTTCATCTAAAATACAATTAAAATAATGAGCCTTACGCGGGTATGTTAAGGAAATGTACAAATCATTTCTCAGGAAATTTAGAATTTTTAAAAGAAAATTAAGCTTGATAATTTATCAAAGTCGCCGATAAATCGTAAACTATTATTAACTATTGCAAAAAGAAAACAGAGTGTCTGAGGCAGAGAAGTGCACCACCACGACGCCATCACGTCGCTGCTTTTAATAGCAAAATATTCCTTAATACAAAAGTTAACAGAACAACACTACCCCGGGGTTTTAATAATTTCTTTGAGGAAATAATATAGTTGAAAAACATCCCTTATGCCTAAAATCCCACTGTCCGATCGGAAAAATAATTATTCCACATATTCGCACGAAACCTTACCCGATGTTTTGCATTCTAAATATATATATATATATATATATATATATATATATATATATATATATATATATTATATATATATATATATATATATATATAACCCGAGATATTTCTTCAAACTATGTTTACTTCATGATTCTAGCAGCACTTTCCAAGTATTATAGGACGCAAGCTTTCGATAAGTACAAATATAATGTTTTGAAGTATACAGCTTAGTGTTGTTCTGTGGCATTATTGTTGTCACGAATGACAAAGGAAAGGCCGACCAGGATACGTAAATAGCTGACTGTCTTCAATAGAAGATATAATCGATGAAAATAAACTAGCATACCTGTTTAGCAAAGTTTAACCTCACGTGAATCACACACAATATTCACGGTCTTTGCTTCTAACTCCCCTTTTACGTATCTATTTACATGTCGTCTTAGCCAAATTCTCATTAAACAAGCATTCTGAGAGTATTGCATTAGCAATACTAGTCCCCTACCGGCAAGTGTAATCTGGTTCCGTTCCCGTTAAGAATTGAAAATGTCATAATTCCGTCAAAAATTAATGAAGCGGGACGAAATGCAAACTTGATCTGTAACTAATCAAGGTAAAGCCACATACCAAAAATCAGCTCAATATCTACAAGCTTTTAGAAGAAAATTGCGGAAAACCCGAAAAAATTGAAAAGGCCGTAATTCTGTCAAAAATCAATGAAGCGGAACGAAATGCAAACTTGATCTGTAACTCATCAAGATACACTCACATACCAAAAATCAGCTCAATATCTGCAAGCGTTTAGGAAAAAAGTGCGGAAAACCAAGTGGGACAGACTGACAGACAGACAGAGGGACAGACAGACAGACAGACAGACGGACAGACAGACAGACGGACGGACAGACTCAGAGGAAACCTATAGTCCCCTCCGGTTTCACCGGTAGGGGACTAATAACATGATCAATTCTCATGTTACTTGTTCAACAGTTATGACGTCATCGGTCGGAGAGTAATTCAAGTGACAGATACAGCATAACAAGATAAAACATTTAATTTTTGTTAATATCTGCAAGTTTCTATTCATTTTTAGGAGTTAAATTATGTCTCTAAATAACAATATTAAGAAAACTTGTGTTCTAAAATTGACGTCATCTCGCCTACTATGACGTCATATTGTAAACACACTTGTGTACAAAGACAATGTTGTTATCTGCTTTGCCAGCTGAACAAGTATATTTTGGTCGTGTAAACTAATCTATCTAATTCTTTTTTACTAATCAATCTAACGCTTTTTTAAACCCCATTCAATTTTCGGACCTTTTTTTTTTTTTTTTTTTTTTTAGATTTTTTAGCTTTTCTTCTCTGAGGCATATTACAAATCGGACTTCAGGTTTTAAAGTCAAATTTTACAATAGCTCAGCATTGTTTTTAAAGTTCAAATAAAATCGACATTGTGGTTTATAAAAAGACATCGCAATTTCTATTAATGATTTTACCCTTGGAAAACTCATCATGTTCACGAAGAACAAAATAAAACAAGCATTCTGAGAGTATTGCATTAGCAATACTATTCCCCTACCGGCAAGTGTAATCTGGTTCCCGTTAAGAATTGAAAATGCCATAATTCCGTCCAAAATTAATAAAGCGGGACGAAATGCAAACTTGATCTATAACTAATCAAGGTAAAGCAACATACCAAAAAATCAGCGCAATATCTACCAGCGTTTAGAAGAAAATTGCGGAAAACCCTTAAAAATTGAAAAGGCCGTAATTCCGTCAAAAATCAATGAAGCAGAACGAAATGCAAACTTGATCTGTAACTCATCAAGATACACTCACATACCAAAAATCAGCTCAATATCTGCAAGCGTTTAAGAAAAAAGTGCGGAAAACCAAGTGGGACAGACTGACAGACAGACAGACGGACGGACAGACTCAGAGGAAACCTATAGTCCCCTCCTGTTTCACCGGTAGGGAACTAATAAAGCAGTGCTTTTCATGATATATTTATAACAATGAACTTAACTGGTTCATTTATCATTTAAGAGATGTAAAGTCCGATATAAGTAATCGTTATCGTACATGCACAATGGACATATTCTCAATATGAGTGAAAAATGCTCGAGAGGGACGTTAAAATACAAACAAACAATAGACATATATAATCAATGATATAAATCTCGATATTTATTAAGCAAAATATTTTTAATTAAAAATATAAAACACACAGAAAGTTATGTTGTTACAAAAGCATGAAAAGAACAGTGTTTTTTTCTCTCTAATTAACATTGTATAATAGTAACTTAACTAATATTATTGTATAACATCCAATTCGAAAGCAGAATATTCACTTGTTCTTATAAATGTTTTTTTTTATATAAATTTGCAGAATAAGATTGGCGTACTCCAGAAATACCAATTACTTCAAAATTTTAGAAAGATAACAAAAACATGCTGTTTTGAACTTAAATGATAAGTGAACAGTTATGTGTACAATCGTTATATTATAAACAAATATAAATACAAACAAGGTCCAATTTTCCTATGTAAAGTAAGTTAATTTATTAAATCCACACAAAACTCTTTTTAAGGGTCCCATTCACAAATAAATGCATTAGGTGTTAGGCAACCTCGGTCATTCAGTAGCCCAGACTGACGGGTAAGCTCAACGCAGTCTTGGTCGTCCCCGTTATTGTTTGGCTGCCCATCATACCACAGATTGTTGCCTATAGGGTTACCACCTCTGCTCCAAACAAATGTAAGTTCGCCGTCTCTTACTCTGCCGCCAGTCCAACTTCCACAGTCATAAAACTTTTGACAATCCTCTAAAAAAATCATAATTTCAAAGTTGTTTACACAGCTCTTATTATGTTCGAAAAGCCCGAGGGGTATATTTAGAAAAGAAGCATCTTTTATCTAAATAAAGTATAAAGACTTTCATCTTTTATTACAAACAACTTAAGCAAGCAAATACAAATTGGCAAGAAAATAAGCATCGCTTTAACTTCCCTTATTCTTTATTGTCAATCGACATCTTCTGCAATACCAAGTTCTATGACCCTTTTCACTAAACTATTTTACTACTCTCAAACAAAATTTCTAACAAAACAAATCTTATAGGTCTATTACATCGGATTGCGTTATAAATAAAAATAAAGAATTAGAAAAATACCAAGCTATAAATAACAGGAGTTGTCAAATATTTATGAACGAAACATTATAATAACAAACAGTTATCATCACTGTAACAACCTTTTTTTGGAAAAAAAACGTAAAACTGTAATCAGAAAATACAAAATGAAAACATTCACCTTCAAGTTTGTTTAAATGTGATTTATTGCATATATGCAGAAAGTGTCATGATATACTTACCTTGTCGAAAATTTGGAGCGATAAATGTTGTAAAAATCCAGTCCCTTTCATTGCCTGTGTCTAGCTCTACCAGGTACCCGCCGAAGCTGTTACATCGTGCCTGTAACAAGCAGTACAGGTAATATAATAAACAATTCATGCAATATAGCAGTTCTTTTGTTTGTGTCCAACCTTATACAATCAAAATTTCAAGATGCAAGTGTTCAAGAATATACACAATGGGTTTTAGACTGACCACATGACTGATTTTATATATGTCTTCTTGAAACACGGAAAAACAAACTTAAACAAATTTTGTAACAAATTCTGTATCCAAATGTGCAATATATAACCTTACCATTTAAGATATCAAGCTTGTTAAAGATTTGTCAAAGAGAATTCTGCATCCCTAGAATAGTGATTCTATACAGTTCGATACCTATTTAAATTTATATTTATTTTCTTTATGTTCTTCCATACCTACGCTCACAAATTAAGGTATTTGCATCTTCAGGTTCACTGAGCCTCTAATAAGAGAGATAACTCTCACAACGTTATATGATTATGATTTCTTCATGAATTTGTCAAGTAAAAAGACCACTTCTGTCAAATTTTGCCGTGCATAAGGAATGCTGTAAATATGCGCAGTTGAATTATAAATTAGTTTTCTATAAAAGTCCAAGTTAACCTTTAATGAGTGAAACCTCAATTTAACAATGAGTTGTGTTTTGTTCATTATTATAGTTTATCTGTATCTCTAGCCAAGACTTTTTTTTTTACACACGTTGGAACCTTATCCCTGTCGAAGCAGTTTTGTTATAATAACCCTTTATATTTTTATGTAAATTATTAAAACATGCTGGGGCATCTTTAACAATTGATGTTGTACATGTTTTATATGCTCCATCTGATTTGCATTTCACACTGTGACATGTAAAGTTCAGAATCTAAATCTGTTCGAAAATTACCTCAAGTATAGTATTAACCAAACCTCATTTGTGTCTTTGGTTTTTGTAGATGCTTTATCTCTGACATTTTTCTGCTAACTTGCATCTCTTAAGGCGTTTTCCTTGATAACCAATGCTTTTTAAAACCAGTTAAAAACATTCGTTCATTAAACGCTTTGCCTCGTGCATAAGCTTGAAATTGTATCTGGGATGTTTTTTGTGGTTGACTTATTCAGGGTGTGTACAATTTTTAGCCCGTTTATAGATTACCATAAGAAATGTAAAAAAAAATACATTATACCCCTTTGGCGATTGCAATATAAAGTTTATCTTTTAGCATCAGCTAGCAACTGTTCCTTCGCCAAGCGCTCGGCAATTTGAAAGTTGCGGGTCTTTCGGATGAGACCTTAAATACAGAGACCCCGTGACACGGTAGGCGTTGGCTTTGTAAAGAACCCTCACTACTCAATGGCCCTGAGTGCCAAGTAAAGGTCTAAATTTTAAGCCCTTCACCTGTGTATGGTGACGTCTCTATACGAGTGAAAAATTATCGAACGGGACGTAAAACAACATGCAATCAATCTTTTAGCATCACAAGTGAAAAATATAACAAGCAGTGCACCCAAAGCACTTTCGATGTTTCTCTGATTCTTCAACGTTATTGGCTCCAGTAATCTAGTAGTTCGATACTAGCTTGAAAAAAAAGATATATATTTAATTGCCGTTGCAAAATTTAGAAATTTATTTTAAAATTAAGGATTATCTCCCTCATGCATAGCTGTGATCCTTCAACGTATTTGGCTCCAGTAATCTAGTACTTCGATACTAGCTTGAAAATACCGATATATATTTAATTGCTTTGGTAAAATTTAGAAATTTATTTTAAAATTAAGGATTATTTCCCTCATGCGTAGCTCTGATCCTTCAACGTATTTGGCTCCAGTAATCTAGTACTTCGATACTAGCTTGAAAATACAGATATTTATTTACAGTGATTTTTTGGGGGTCAAAATGCCACCGATGTTCGGCTGTTTCCCCTCACAAAAATTAGCTATTTTTTCCCAATTACTAGTAATTTTTTCCCAATTTCAAACATACGGAAATTATGTTTAAACTTTGAACAAAAGTCGCTAAATTTTCTGACAGAGTAAATACGTTTTTATTCTTCAATTTATTCTCCAAATCCATGCATATGAAGCCTATTTTTAATGAATGTGTAAAACAATGCAAATATCCATATAAGCAGATAAGTAGCTTATAATATCCTAAATGAATTGGAAAAGAGTTCCCAGATACAAGTCATGTTGCATGTTGACATAATGTTTTTGGTTTGACCGCCATTATTACATAGAGGGTCAGGCTAATATCAGGAAATGGACAACACATAGGATTTAACTAAAATCAGGAAAAAACAAACAGTAAAGACTGTAAACTTGCTTATCAATATAAGACAGTTAACTAGATTATGAGTCTAAATGCTGTTTGTTTTTTGTTTGTTTTGTTTTTGTTTTTATTAAATTAGACAAAGCAATTCCAAGAAAATAGAAGGTACAAGGTGTGACTAGTATAAGCCTTGTTCACATTCAATAAAATATTGATGTTAATTTTTTTTAAATGATGATTTTAAGAATTTAAATCAAATTCAAAGTTAAAATCAAACAAAAACTGTTGTTGTTACTTACTTTGATTATTTCATGTATTTTTTTTAGCAATCTAATTTACTATAAATGATTTTTCCCAATTTGAGGAAAATGTCGCTAATTTTTCCCAATTCAAAAGGAGGGGGTGGTGGTTTAAAAAACAAAAAAAAAAACACTGATTTAATTGCCGTTGTAAAATTTAGAAATTTATTTCAACATGGTGATTTAAATTAGTGGCTTCGGAGTACTTAAGTTTTATCAGTAGATTGAACGGCGGAAAACTAATTTGTTTCTTGAGACCTGTGACCTGAACATATATATTCCTAGATTGCGTGATTGTATTTTCTTCAGATAATTTTAAATACTCAGAAGAAACATTCCTTGATATGTTTATTTCAAGCAAATCAGAAATTCAAATAAAAGCAGTATTCAGACTACTCTTTGCGAAAATCACCTTGGCGCCTTCCCACGTTGTAGCCTCAGAATGAAACCGGTAAAAATGGCCTTGAAATTCGAAACCTATAAAATTAAAAATACCAATTATTTGTCACCGTATGAAATAAAGTAGGAATCGCTCAATATATTATAAATTGATATTCTTTTCAGAATTGATTGATCACTTTTTTGGTTAGATGAACATGTACAAAATAGCACTTCGAATCTTCAGTATGGAGCGCCTTACACATTAATAAATCCCATTGTACAGTCATTTGCAAAATAACATCATCAAACAGGAATGGTTAAAATGATACCATATATTATTTGGTGAATCTTTTACAAATTAATCCTGCAATAATTTCCACAATTTTTGAGAAATGGATTCGGGATGACGCAAATCACGGTTTCAGATTTTGTAAACTTTTAAACTTTGCAATAGATTGATTGTGTGTTGTTTTACGTCCCGTTCAAGAATTTTTTTACTGATATAGAGACGTCACCATATGCCGGTGAAAGGCTTCAAATGTAGACCTTTACTCGGCACTCAGGGCCATTTAGAAGTGAGGGTTCTTTATCGTGACAAGGGGCCTCGTTTTTTTGCTAGGTCTCATCCTAAAGACCCGCAACTTTCACTCCAAAGTGCCGAGCGCTTGTCGAAGGAACTGTTGCTACTTTTTTTATCGACTTAGGTCAGTCGCGGCCGTGATTCGAACACACGACATTCCGATCATGGAGCGAGCACTCTACCGACAGAGGTACCGTGACCATCTTTGCAATAGATTTTCCTACAATAGATGTATGCATAGAAACTATTCGCTTGTTTTTTTTCTGTATTTCTTTCTATCTTCCAGGATTACTCTACCAGTCTAGTTGTAAATGGATTAAGTTGTGAAGATAGGGAAGGACTTCTGATGAGTTTTATCGGCAAGTTACTGTAAACCAACTTTAATTTGCGTGCGAGAAATGTACGCGAGTTTCGCGATCTACTTGTTCTCGCGAATATTAATCGCCGTGAACCAATTATTTTGCTTTGTTTTTGAAGAGAAAAAATTAATCGTCGCAGATTCATTTCAAACTGACGAATCGCGAATAAAAGATGACGCGAATAATAGTTGATTTAGTGTATACAGTTCTCGGGAAAAGGTAAAGTCGGCAATAATATTTTCCGCAAGTATCTGTAACTGCTGGGTATCATTCTGATGCCCTGGGAATCCACATTTAAATTAGGGTATGTCTCCTGAATTATCAAACACAATCTCTTCGTGAATAGCCATCAGAACAATACAGGTTTTTCAATCTGTTCTAAATTTGTTAAGAAATTCCATCCTTTTCACCCATAGCAAAATGCGATCTAAGCCAAACTTGCAGCATTTGCCTGCATTCATTTATGAATGGCCAGGATTCAAAATTCAAACAAAAAAGCGTTCACTTCAAAAGAACTAAAATGCGTCTTTTCCAATACATATTATTCGACTAAAGTGACTTAATTTTTTTTGTACTGTTCACAGTATCTCAGTCGGTAGAGCGCTCGCTCCGTGATCGGGGGGTCATGAGTTCGAATCTCGGCCGCGACTGACCGATGTCGATAAATAATGGGTAGCAACTGTTCTTTCGCCATGCGCTCAGCACTTTGAAGTAAAATTTGCCGATCCTTCGGATGAAACATTAAAAACCGAGGCCCCGTGTCACGACAGGCGTTGGCATGATAAAGATCCCTCACTGCTTAATGGCTCTGAGTGCCGAGTAAAGGTCAAAATTTGAAGCCCTTCTCCGGTATATTGTGATGTCTCTATACGAGTAAAAAAAATTCTCGAATGGGATTTAAAACAACATACAATCAATCAATCCAAAACTTAGAGAGATCAGCATCTTGGTTTTATCTTGAACTAAATAAATAAGTTCGTTTAGCCTCTTATTCAACTCCTCTGAAGTGAATGATTATAATTCTTTTATGAAATTGTCTTGTTCAAACGTCATCATTTGGGTAAGGTATGCCAAAAATGTATGCATTTTAATTATAAATAAAATTCATAAGACATACCATTCGCGTTTCAGCAAAAGTATATCACACGTCAACATATGGGAATATTTAATATTAAATTACAAAATAAATAAGCGCGCCGTTTCTAAAAACTTTCTAAGAGAAATGACAATTTTGTTAAGGTAATGTAAACCCACTATTAACATGTGTATGTCACAGTTGATCTGAAAGTGTGGCAAGCATAACTACGGAATGGAAGCAGTACGTTTCCTTTATCAGTTGGTGAGTACTGTATGAAATGCATACATGTATATACGATCGTATCCTTTAACTGAGTAATTAATGACTGTGCATGTCTAAATCAAGTTGTGTGCTAAACTAGTGTTTCATTAACTAAATAAATAACGCACATTACTTGAAATTATGATTTGAATTTCCATACTTTTTATGCATATTCAATATTCTCTGTTATTCCATCCAAAAATGTCTAGTTGCAATTAATACAATTCTACGAGATCAGTACACTTTTAATGTGGTCAAGGTGCTATATTTTATTGGAAGATGGACACAAATACCACGGTAAGTATTTGAAACAAACTTTTAACACCCCGTCTTTCCTTCATAAATGTGTTTTCGATATCTGATGTTACTCTGTAGATTCTTTTTTTTTCTTTTGTTAATTGGACTTACCACACAAAATGTCCGTTTTCCACTGTCCATCTTTCTGACACAAAATGACCCCTGACCCCTTCCTAGAGTATGGACTAAGGCACTGAAGACGCATGCGTCTTTCTACTCCAATACCATCCCATCTCTCGACACTGTTCATGTCAGCACGCAAAATCACTGGTACTCCACAATCTTATAATAATATAAATAGTGAGGGATGCAATTAACCCGAGAAAGCTTACATTTATAATCAAGTGAAAAGCATAAGGAAAAAAAAGGGATTTTAAATTCAGGCAGATTTTCTGCTTATACGAGACAAAATACAATCTGATTAAAATCAGATCCTTAGATCCGCTCACATAGATCGCTACACAAGGATCTGAAGAAACTCCATTCAGGGTCATTTCCTGGTTACCTTTCAATTATCCAATCAACGTTTGCTTCAACAAATTTAGAAGTATCTCGGAATTCAGTTACAGAAGTCAAAGCCCCGATGATACACGAACGAAAAATCGTCACCGAGTTTCCGTAGCCTGCCAAAAGAACGACCTTTGTCTTTTATGTACAGAAATATATTTAGTATTTGCTTTTGCCTTTCTTTTTTTTTAGCTCTTTCTTTTGTACGAAACGATAAGGTCTTCTCCATAGCTACTTTCAATTCTACATTCATTTTCCCGAATGTCGCTAAGTACGATCTCTCTGATTGGTCAAAATTTTAATGAATATTTTTATTAGAAAGGTCACCAGGAGATGACCCTGAATGGGGTTTCTTCAGATCCTTGTGTAGCGATCTATGTGAGCGGATCAAAGGATCAGATTTTAATCAGATTGGATAAAATATTGCGCTTTTTTTTCTATTTATAACTTTTTCTGAGATTCTTCTTTTATTCTATTCAATTAAAGCAATCAAATGATAATGTATGATGTACTGACTTAGCAATCTTAACATTTTTATACCCCCGTATCGAAGATTCGGGTTATATAATTTTTGCCGTCTGTCTGTCTGTCCGCAAAAACTTTAACATTGCCCATAACTTTTTATTGGTTGGAGCTATGGCTTTCATATTTCACGTGTATTCCTTGTGACAAGACCTTTCTTTGGGTACCACCATATTGACCTTTACCTTGGAGTTTGACCCAGTTTTGCAAAATTTTAGCCAACTTTAACCTTGGTCATAACTTTTGAACAATTGGTGCTAGGGCTTTTGTACAAGTGTAATCCTTGTGACAAAACATTTCTTTGGATACCAACAACTTTGACCTTGACCCTGGAGTTTGACCTACTTTTGAAAAACTTTAACATTGGCCATAACTTTTGAACGGTTGGTACTAAGGCTTTCATACTTCACATATGTAATCCTTGTGACAAGACCTTTGTTTGGATACCAACAACTTTGACCCTTTAACCTTGACGAACATTAACATTGGCCATAACTATTGAACCGTTGGTGCTAAGGCTTTCATACTTCACATATGTAATCCTTGTTACAAGACCTTCCTTTGGATACCAACAACTTTGACCTTGACCTTAGAGTTTGACCTACGTTTGGAAAACTTTAACCTTGGCCATAAATTTTGAACCGTTGGTGCTAGGGCTTTCAAAATTCACATATGTAATTCTTATGACGAGACCAACAATTGTAATCCATTGACCTTGACCTTGGAGTTTGACCTACTTTTGAAAAACTTGAACCTAGGTCATTGCTTTTGAACGATTGGTGATTCAGCTTTCATATTTCACTAGTATATTTCTTGTGAGAAGGCCTTTCCTTAGGCACCATTAATTTTGACCTTAACTTTAACCTTTTCAATATATATTCAGTGGTTGCTGCTAGGGCTCTCTTATTTCACAGGTATATTCCTCGAGACAAGACCTTACTTTGAGTTCCAACATATTTGGTTTGCATTTGAGAAAGTTTAACCTTTGCTTTAAGTTTTCATACGGGGGCATCACAAATCCTATTGAATATGTGGAACATTAATAAAAAAAATTATGAGAACAGAGTAAATGTTTTCTGGACTTTTTATTCAATCATGTGCTTGAATGTGTTTTTCGTTTATCTTCAAAGCCACTCAACAAGCTCCAAAAACTGCTCACTGGCAGCTCGCGAGCAGAATGTGAGAAAATGCAATCTACGTATTAAATTGGCGCTACAGATTTTGGGTTGCTTCTTAAATGCTCTGGTAAGTAATATGACCTACAATAATTTCTAGTATTGCTTTTTTTTTCTTGTAGTAAGAATAATATAAGTAAGATAAAATGAGCAAAGCTATAGATTCATATGTTGCGAACATTTTCACCCTAGAGTAATAGGTCCATTGGGAGTAAAATGTCAAATAAAGGAAATGTAAACCAAGTTGCCCGGATAATGTCAATTGTAGCATAAATAATAAACCATACATTAGGAAGAGATACCATTACCTGATACTGTACACTGTAATGTGTCCATAGAAACCTCACTACATCTTTCGTTGATAGTGCAGTTTAAGGCAAAACAAAAGTCAAGGTGGTCCTAGAAAAATCAACACTTGGTCACTGTTCGTGTACTGGAGGTGGAATTGTTGAATTTGTTTTATTACACCGACGTAGGATCGAAGATGGTATCCATTTATCAAAATGTCTATCGGAATCTCTTTAATATAAGCTTATGGAGACGATATCATAATTTAAGTTTGTCCGTGATCAGTTTCTACATACATAAACTTTTTTGCATTTGATCGGGCTTGTTTGAAATAAGATATCTAAGAATGAATGGGTTTTTTTTTTTTTAGCTCTACTGGTCAGAGACCAGAAGAGCTTATGCGATAGTAAGGTGTCCGTCGTCCGTCTGTCTGTCTGTAAACAATTTTTCAAAACGCTACTCCTCCTACAGTTTTGGTCTGATTTCAATATAACTTGGCACACAAGTAGACTACACTAAGATACATAATTTAGTGCATCGGTTTTTGATTTCGATGAACGGTGTTGCCATGGTTACTAAAAATAGAAATTTCTGTGAAATTCCTTTAAAACGCTACTCCTCCTGCAGTTTTGGTCTGATTTCAATATAACTTGACACACAAGTAGACTACACTAAGAAACATAATTTAGTGCATCGGTTTTTTCGATTTCGATGAACGGTGTTGCCATGGTTACTAAAAATAGAAATTTCTCTGAAATTCCTTTAAAACACTACTCCTCCTACAGTTTTGGTCTGATTTCAATATAACTTGGCACACAAGTAGATTCAACGGTAAATTACTGATTTGGCAAAGTTGAAGATGCCCTAACTTTTTAAGTACAAAGTTATAACGCTCACAAAAAACCCCATATCGATAAAAAGAATTATGTATCTCAGTGTAGTCTACTTGAGTAGCATGTTATACTGAAATCACACCAAAACTGTAGGAGAAGTACGATTTTGAAAGTGTTTCACACAAAATAAAAAAACGATGCACTAAATTATGTATCTTAATGAAGTCTACCTGTGTGTCAAGTTATATTGAAATCAGACCAAAACTGTAAGAGGAGGACGGTTTTAAAGGAATTTCAAAGATATCTCTATTTTTAGTAACCATGGCAACATCGTTCATCAAAATCTTAAACCGATGCACTAAATTATGTATCTTAGTGTAGTCAACTTGTGTGCCAAGTTATACTGAAATCAGACCAAAACTGAAGGAGTAGAGTCTTGAAAAATTGTTTACAGACAGATGAACAGAAAGACAGACGGACAAACGCCGGACACTTTACTATCGTATAAGCTCTTTTGGTCTCTGATCAGTAGAGCAAGTACATATTTTACCATCTCCCAGTCTTCCTTCTCGCTATAGATCCATCCATCACTATTTAGATATCTGTCTGTTGCCGTTCCTCTATTTTCGTAATTAATTTCACAGTAATTAGCTCCTTTGTAATAATTGAGAGATTTACACCTTAATGTTCTATGGCATTCCTCCGCACAATCGGAAATACTATAATACGTAAATGATGTTATTATTTTATTGTGTAGTCTAAATCCATACTTTATGCTTTGAAAGTTTTGGAATCCCTCCTGAACATCAGCAAGGATAATATTAAAAATTTTACATAGAATTAACACTGTAGTATAATTTTCCCTTTTCATGGCAGTTTCATGACCAACGCGTTTTATTCCTTAACTTTAGTGACAGAAAATATTTTGTTTTTTTTCATTGGGAAATCAAGTAAAAATGAGTTCTCCACATAATAAACACGGTACATGTATTTAATACACCATTCATGAATATTTCAAGTGAAAAAAAAATAAAATTGCATTGTGAATACATAATGAGTCGCAATACTTAAAATCAATCTATTTGTTCATTGAAGCTTTACGGTCGGCCAATTGCAATAATGAGGCAATAAACAGAAGTTCCAGTAAACTAATACTTTAGGCTATTTACATCTCCTTGGTGTATTCTTCGCGATTCCAGTAATGAACAAATTATCTATTTAATAAATATGTTTAGTCAACTGTGTACCGAATTGATATGTGACGATTTAGAAATATTTCAAAAAGGATGGGCTGATTAAAATACTCATTAAAAACCAAAGACCCACAAATATTGATAATTGGAGGCTATATATTTAAATCTTGTCCTTTGTTTTGAACTGTAAAACATAACTACATGTAAGCAGCTAAGAATTTTACTTTGTTCTGATATATATCATCGTGTATGTAAGAATAAAAGAAGCCAGGACATTACTTGTAGACAGACGTGTACGGTAGATTGTAGCAATCCTTAGTTTTCTTTTTACATCCATGTCACTGAAGCCCTTATGCCAAAATTGTTATATCAAATAATTGTGATTCGGGGTTTATTATTTATTTATTTATTCATTCATTTATTATTCATTTATTTTGTAGAGTTTTCTATTTTTTATTGTGGGGATGGAAGCATCCTTTGGTACAGGGAGAAAAGGTGGTGTTATAAAATCTCTATCAAATACTTAATGACAAAGGAAATACTAAGTGCTCATTAATTGTTTAAACCTTTCAGTATTTTTAAATGATTTTCTCCAAGTTTCTGGTATATCAGGTCAGTTTTACTCATCGGATTTTACATTAAAAGATTATTGCAATTCAAGACACTTTTTCTGTTAGAACACTTGAAATCAATATTTTTAATTATTTCATATTGATTTTATCAACATCCGTATTTCATGGAACAGGGAGCTTCAACAGAGGTCCATTTAAATGTGTATATACTTGTTAACCAGTTTATAGAATTATATTAAATTTTTCGTTAATATTTACATGTATATTTCCATACAATGAGCACCATGTGATTGTTAAGTAATTTAAAACCTAGCTTTTAAAGTTTAAATGTTTTCACAAAAACTCTTAAAAATTCTGGCCCAGAGACTATTTACCGAGAACCAGTTAATTAAAAACAAGAGGCCCAAGGGCCTTAACGGTCACCTGAGTACAACAATTTAGAGGATTCATAAACTGAAAAATGAAGCTTTGTTGCAAAAAAGCAAGAAAAATAGTACGATTAAGATCAACAAAATAATTGTAGTATTTATCTATCTGTCCCCCATTTATCACTATTAACCATGCAGACTTTTAACAAAATGTCTATTACCTCTCACATTGACCTCACTTGGCCTTTGAAGAACATTTGAAAAAGATAAGTTATTTTTGTTTAATTTTTATTCATGTTTTATTTCCAAGTCTTCCTGATCATTTAGACTAAGAGAGCACTTTTTGTATTATACAATAAATGTCCTTGCATAATTCTCTTATTCTATTAACCTTTCAAATACATTATCTACAGTAATTAATAATTAAAGGTGAGTGGCAAAGGGGATTAACTTCATTCAGTAGAATACAAATTAATAGAGCCCTGGCCAGGACCAGAACACTTGACTAGATGGTCCAGATGTTCAAAATTCTGGTAAAAATACCCTTGCGTAATAATTTTTTTACTCTGTTTGCCTCCAATATGCCCAGGAGCAGAGAAGATCTTAAAAGAAATAATGCATTTCACCATTTAACACAGCCCTACCCTAACACCAGAACCCATGACCCAGGGTCATGAAATTTACACATTTGGAAGAGGTACCCTCATCATCATAACTATGTAATTACATATAGTTGAAGATTTTCAAAGAATTCATCAATTTTCACTATATTATCAACAGACCCCCCCCCCCCCCCGACACAACAGAACCCCTGGGACCACAAGTTTTAAAAATGTTGTAAAAGCATCCTTGCTCATCATAACTATACACTTGCTTCTTTGCTTTATAACCAGGAGTAGAAAAAATATTTTGAAAGAAATTATGAATTTTCACTGTATAAACAATAGAGTCCCCCCCCCCCCCTTCACCAGAAACCCTGACCCTGGGGAAATAGATTTCAAAATTTTGGAAGAGGAATTCTTGCTTATCATAACCATGCACTTCCATTGTAAAAATAATACCCAAGAGCAGAGAAGAAGATTTTCAAAGAATTGATGCATTTTCACTATAGAATCAATAGAGCCCTGCCCTAACAGCATAACCACTGATCCAGGGGCCATAAAATTCACAATTTTGGAAGAGGCAGTCATGCTCAACATAACTTTGTAGTTAGTTTATTTAATACCCATGAGCAGAGAAGAAGATTTTCAAAGACTTAATGCATTTTCACTATATAATCAATAGAGTCCCGCCCTAACACCAGAACCCCTCATTCTGGGGCCATGAAATTCACAATTTTGGAAGAGGCAGCCAAGCTCATCATAGCTATTTACTTAGTTTATTTAATACCCAGGAGCAGAGAGGAAGATTTTCAAAGATTTAATGCATTTTCACTACATTATCAATAGACCCCCCCCCCCTTTCACAGACACAACAGATCCCCTGGGACCACAAGTTTTAAAAATGTTGTAAACGCATCCTTGCTCATCATAACTATGCACTTGCTTCTTTGCTTTATAACCAGGAGTAGAAAAAATATTTTGAAAGAAATTATGAATTTTCACACAAAGCTAGGCTTTACCTGATGATCTCCACAATCTTGGCATTATATGACCTAAGTTTTTCTTGTAGTTTTATGTGTAGGTTTGACAATAAATTACGAAACTTCAGAATTCGGATCATATCTATTTTTTTTTAATGATAAAACGAAATTGTCATCGTACAGTCTATCTACAGTAGTTTTCCCAGAATGCCCCACCGTGAAGTCGAACATGCGTATTCCAGAAATATAGACTAACGTAGTTGCTAGCGCTCGAGGGCGCTAGCAATAATACCCAGGAGCAGAGAAGAAGATTTTCAAAGAAATAATGCATTTTCACTATATAATCAATAGAACCCCGGCCCTAACACCAGAACCCCTGACCCGAGGGCCATGAAATTCACAATTTTGAAAGAGACAGTCTTGCTCAACATAACTATGTACTTAGTTAATCTAATACTCAGGAGCAGAGAAGAAGATTTTCAAAGAAATAATGCACTTTCACTATATGATTTATATAGCCCCACCCTAGCACCAGAACCT